TGAAGGAAACGACAGACATCCAGTCCTGTTTGGCTCAGCATCTTTCACTACAGACTGTTTTTTTTTTTAATTGTCTTCCTCAGGGAATCGAGCGTTTGAAGGGAGAGACGGGGAAGTGGGGAAGGTGCCATGTTGGGAGGCCATGCGGATGGGCGTTCGGTGGCCCCTTCTCTCTGTCCTGGTGCAGCCCCTTCGCAGGGCTGAGCTGCAAGACAACCCACGGAGCATGTCCCTGTCCCACAGGGGGAGATGAGGAGGACGTCATAGAGATACCACTAGACTAGCCTTGTCTGTCTTACAAAACACAAAGGAACTCTTTGAGTTTTTAGACTTGTGACTTTATTAGGGCTTTCCAACTAGTGATAAACCTCGTGCAATTCATATATTTATTTTTTTATTTTCATCTCAAAGACTTTTCTATGTGTAAGTATGGCCTCTTATTCTCAGTGCAGCCATAAGCAGAGTTAGTGATATGAGATTTTTTAAGACCAATACTGACTTCAGAATGAAGAAATAGCAGAATGTGATTATGGCAGCTGATATATTGAATTTTTAGCTGTAATGATAATTGAACTTTTCCATTTGGATAGTGAACAGATATGACTATGCAAAGGTGCTCAGGTGGCTTCCTTCTTATAAATAATATTATTAAGAAAACATGACTTTATTATACATTGTCCATCACTTCTAGAGAGGACCATCACTCTCACATGTGCAGACAGTACTGAGAGTATTATACAGTTATATAACAGTTGTGAACCTTTGTGACTTTTCTCAGTCTACGTGCAGATATCTCTGCTGTGGGTATCAGCTGATACCAAGTACCAGTCTTATACCAGTGTTCACTAACTAAACTGTATGCAGTCAGTGTGTGAAAGTAAACGATGCACATTGTTTTCTGTAGGTGAAATGTCACAACTTTGCAGATAATGCAAGAAGCGATGACTTCTGTGTAGCAAGTGTAAACAAACCTCCTAACAGCTGACACGCCATCTTCTTGTGAGCAAACCATTGGTTCCCAAAGTTGGGAAACCATAATGAAGTACACATATATCTATGTACGTAAACAGGGAATTGAATAGTACCAATAGTAACAGCACCGGATTGGCCTGACACGGCTATCCTATCCCATGAAGTGATTTTATTCATGAAACTATTTGTTATTAAGAGTTAAAGCATGATTTTCTGGGGGGGAAACAATAACATGAACCCCCCCGAGCAATGTTTTCTACAATTATGTAAACATCTTTCATGTTGGCACACATAAGAAAACACATGTAATACCAATATATGTGTAAAAGGCCCATGTCTACACAATAATATAGGATAGAATCTAATGTACAGGAGAGTAAACTTAAAGATTTTTGTGAATACTTTAACCAAACTGTATCTTTGCCCTTTAGAAATGTTCCGCTGTTGCACAAAAGGAAATCTTATATGATATGTAAACGATCATTTTCTACTCACCTTGTGCTGCCAAACCTGCAGTATTTATTATAATGGATTTAAAACTAAGAAACTTAAAGGAGCTAGAAGTACTCAGAGCTCCTCTAAGCACAACCAAAGTGTCTCTGACTTGAATTTGAGAAGATGATGGGTTGTACAGCGTGTCATTGAGCGGTCTCAGGCGAACACCACTAACAGTAGCACTAGTGTGACACGTGGGAGAAATGTTTTCTTTTAACCACTTTGCTGTCTCGGACGCCTTTTTTTAGGGTTATGAATTCACATTGTGCCTTATCCGTCTTGACAAACAAGCGTTTAAATGCGTGAGAAAAAAACCCGTCTGATACTATAATTAACCACTCATACATCCTATTCAGGCCTCTGTGTCTGCTGTCGCCATTTTCATCTTTTCACAGTCTGGTAAAAATGGGAAATAGACAGTAACTGACTTCAAATGGAAGAGATGATGTAATAAAGTAAGGTGCTGGATAAGGGCTTTAATCTGTTCAATGGATGCTGGTTGTAATGGGACCACTCGTCTTTTTTGTTTACATTATTTTAACAAAACTGGTTTCTCATTGTGTGGGTTCCATATTTTTTTTTAATAAATGCATTTTTCATAACGGCACTCTTTTGATTGTTTTTCTTTATCATACATTATCCTCCTTTTCAACAACTTTATATACAGTAAGTCTCAGATATCCCCACATGTACATAATCACACACTATTTAATAAAAGCATCTTTAATTGTTTTTGTTTTTTTTACAAAATCTTCTGTACAGTTTATTTATTACACACAAAGCAGGTTATTTACAACAAAGTTGCACATTTTCCATTTCATTTTAGAGAGATTAAAAACTGTTAAGCCTTTATATCACATCAAATACTGCACTGTTAACAGTCCAGTCAGATGATTCTTATAAATATACTATGAACATTTTCAAATTCTGTTCATCATGGCTTCTTTCACTGTCCTCGCTGATGAGAGCAACCTGGACTGTGACTGGAAACCACATTACATCGATGTTAAAGACGCACCGACTGTCATGTCTTTGGTTGTACTGATTTTTTTTAAAGGTGTGACCTGCCGATTCCGAATTTTCTTTCTTTAATTGACAGTGAAAAATAAAAAACTATTTGTACTATTGTATATTCAGAATAAAACTGACTGTTAATAAAACCAATTAGGATGTTTAATGAAAAGAACTGCACCGGGTTCATGACCATCTCACATTCTCATGCAAAGTAACTCTTCAGCTGCATACTCCCTGACTCCTGAAGGAATGAGGAGTCACCCCTCAAGTCACGACAGTTTGCGGCTATTTCATTTGGCTATTGCCTGCTGTCTCTTCGGTCTTTCCTTCTGCCTTTTTTTTTTTTTAAACACTAAGCTTCTCATAATCGCTTTTAGCTTTTCTTTGTTCTTAAGCTCTCTTCCTGTTATCTCTTTTCCTACCCTGCTCTTTACGTGGGTGAGTGTTGTATTCTCCAAAGAAAGAGGAAAAACAATCTCTCAATTGCAACTCCAAAGGAAAACTTTGCCTTGGGAGATGTAAACATAGACTCATTGGTCTGCTGGCCATAAAACTTTTGGTCTGATTTACAAGGAATCCAACAGAAACAGAGGCATTCAGAAAATCTTTTGGTGGATGTTTGGTTTGCAACTTCAGTTAATATAGACATCAGTATATAATTGAGATTGTGTCATATTCAGTAAACGAAAAAGTGTTTGTACCATTACACCTTATGAGTCTCAAAGACCCTACCTGACATTTTCTATACACTTTACACTTTAAAATTAAAATTAAACTTTAAATGCCCGAGAAATTCAAGTAAGTGCCCAAAAAAGTCTGACCACAGGTTTTTGCAACCGGGGCTGAATAGCAGCAGTTGCATGCTCATGTGTCCTTTTTACCCTCTTCTTGTGGAAGAGCCTGAGGCGTGGATCTATGAAGCACCAGCAGTCCACACAGAGTGAGAGAGATGCCTACCCACCATAGAGCTGCATGGGTCTCTCCAAAAATCAGCCTCCCCAGGACGGCCTGGAAACACAAAAAAAAAAACTCATGTAAAAAACAAAAACATAAATGTGAGGTGAATGTAAGAGTCCCTCGAGAGCTTACTGAGGAGATGAAGTTGGATGCAGTGGTAGTGACTGTGGCCCTGGCTGAAGAGGAGCAGTGCCGGAGAGCTTTGGAGAAAAAGGTCCACATGACAGTATTACAGGTGAACAGCAGCCCAGCACACAGCAGCCGCAGAGGGATGTGAAGCTGGAAAACACACACACACACACAGAGGACATTATGAGAAGGTAAGCAGTCCTGCATGTTAGCTTTGGGTAGATGAGTGCTGGAGACTGAATATGCTGCAGCATACAATTCAGATTTTTAACTTTGCTTTTGAAGTCCTTAATGAGCAGAGGTGTTGTGTATGAAAACATGTGTGTAGGTTTTTTGAAAATGTTTTTGTTCAAGCTTTCCCCCCCGCGCATACATCAGATTGATTAAACTGTGTACTTGTTACCACATGACATTGTTACCACATAAATAATGTGTAAATGCCACTCCAAATGCCATATATTTAACAAAAAACTATCTTAACCAGTGGGAGAAAAACATATACAACTAATATAGTTAGTAGCCTACTTGACTTTAAAAATTGAGGTTATGAATAACAACATTTTTTTCTGATGTAAAAAAAACAACAACCTATCAAGCTTTTTCTGCATTGTTCCTTTAAAACAGCCCATTTACTAAACACCTTCTAAAAAGAAACGTTAAGAGAAGTGATGATTTGTCAAATATCATCAAAGTTCAACAATGAGGAGTGAATCAAAACATGCAGGCCTACCCAGGCAATACAACACACAGCATCATAAATGATCACCTCTCAGGTTCAGGAATGGTTTTGAACTGTCTCTTAGTGAACATGAAAGATTTCCTACAGTCAGTTACTTAAAAAAAAAAAAAAAAACAGAAAATAACTCCTGTCTATTTTTGTATTTATTGAATAATGTGTAAAACATAAATACTGGTGCGGTGGGTTCAACGCGTTTAGACATTTATCCAAACTCCAGGTTGAAAGCAGAAACATTGACAACGTTATGGAGAGAAACGCGGAAATAGAGACAAACAGAGATACATGTTGTTGATGTTGTTGTTGTTGTTGTTGTTGTTTGAGTTCATCTCACCCAGTCACAAACTGCAGTCTGTCCAGGTGATCCAGTCCGGCTGAGCCCGGCCTCACACATGTCGCTCAGGTAGTGTGCGCCAAATGACAGCTTGGCAGTCAAAGAAGCTGCAGCACCCATAAACCCCGCCAACAACGCGTAAAGAGACCCTGATAACATGGCTGGAACTGTGAAACTAACTAATGAAAGAAACCCGAAACCACCCTGACAACAGTAGGCTATTACATCTTCCTCTTTATGCTGTTTTGTCGGTTGGCACTCAGCTGTCAGACGCATTATTGCCACCTACTGGGTTGGAGTGTGGTCCAATTTCTTCATCAGTTAATTAACAGCCAACAAAACATGCGTCATCCAATAAACATGATGAACATGCTTAGGGGGGAGCGTGTTAATTTGTAGCGTATCATTTAAATAGTCAATTATCTTATTGTCATTCTATACTCTGTCTCTGTAAATTTCCTCATTGATGCAGCTCTATTATATATCTATATATTATTATATATATAATATTTAAGTATAAATTATTATTATTAATTATTAACTGCCTTAGATTCAATAATAATAATTTAAAAAAATAATTACGCCCGAAAAAAAAATCTCAAATCGATTAATTAATTTGCTGGTGATGTATATCAATGGTTGGCAACATTAACTACAGGTGGGATTATTACGGTGGCCCTGAAGTGCAAAACACAACAACAAATAAGAAAACACGACAACAAATAAGAAAACACGACAAAAAATAAGAAAACACAACAACAAATAAGAAAACACAACGACAAATAAGAAAACACAACGACAAATAAGAAAACACAACGACAAATAAGAAAACACAACAAAAAAGAAAAAACGACAAATAAAAACACAACAACAAATAAGAAAACAACGACAAATAAGAAAACAACACAACAAATAAGAAACACAACGACAAATAAGAAAACACAACAACATTAACTTTAACGGAAAAGGTATGTACCTGCAGTCGACAAGGATCGTTGCTGATTGGACGAACGCAATGTCGGAAGCAGGCTGTGTGTGTTTTTAATTTGTTGTTGTGTTTTCTTATTTGTTGTTGTGTTTTCTGATTTGTTGTTGTGTTTTTATTTGTTGTTGTGTTTTGTGATTTGTTGTTGTGTTTTGTGATTTGTTGTTGTGTTTTTTGATTTGTTGTTTTTGTGATTTGTTGTTGTGTTTTCTTATTTGTTGTTGTGTTTTCTTATTTGTTGTTGTGTTTTTTGATTTGTTGTTGTGTTTTTTGATTTGTTGTTTTTTTGATTTGTTGTTGTGTTTTCTGATTTGTTGTTGTGTTTTCTTATTTGTTGTTGTGTTTTCTTATTTGTTGTTGTGTTTTGTGATTTGTTGTTGTGTTTTGTGATTGGTTGTTGTGTTTTTTGATTTGTTGTTTTTTTGATTTGTTGTTGTGTTTTCTTATTTGTTGTTGTGTTTTCTTATTTGTTGTTGTGTTTTCTGATTTGTTGTTGTGTTTTCTGATTTGTTGTTGTGTTTTTTTAATTTTATTTGTTGTTGTGTTTTCTTATTTGTTGTTGTTGTGCACTTTAGGGCCACCGTAGATTTATAGATCATTATAACTTCACAAACGCAAACTTTACCCTTTTATTTATTTTTTTTCTAGTCTATAATTTACCCTTACAATTCTGACATCCACCAGTAGATGGCGGTAAGGCAAAGATAGTGGCTTGAAACCTTCATAAACCCAACAGACGAAGAAGAAGACTTCAGCCAATTGTGATCGCCTCTCAGGTCATGTGACTTGCAAAGCGGCACGCAGCTTGTGTTTTGGTGTTGCTTGATATCTGTGTGGGCCTTGTAATTCATTTGTTTGTGCTGTGAACTCCTTCTGCGATGAACAAAAGCAAAGCCAGCGGCGTGTCGTGGGTAAAACCAGCGGAACCGTCTTTTCTGAAGAAGTTTAAAAGTGATGTTGGTTATAAAGAAGGACCGACTGTGGACACGAAGGTTCGTATTCTGTGAAGTGGCTAATATGGCTATTTGTGTTAGCTGAGAGCCAGACCTGTTCCCTCATTTAAATTAAATAAATATTGGCGTAAGCTAGCCGTTTTTATTTTTTAAATTTGTTTATAGAGTTTTTAACAGACAGGTGTTACAGAAACAAGAACTAACCTCTTTGTGTTATTAGACTCCGATCCTTTCATTTAAAGTACACAAACCTGCTCCTCCCACTCACATCTCATTTATCTCTTAAACACTTTTATAATTGTCTTTTTACTCTACATCCCCTTTTATAAGAATTATTTTTGGGTTTCCATATTCCAAATTTAAATCTGTATTTTTTAAATTTATTTAATTTATTTTATATTTCTGAGTCTGTAATGTAGTTTTTGAAAAGTCAAAATGTAGACGTGAAATCGGACATCCCTTCACCCCCCCCCCCCCCCCCCAGATAAAAATAAACTAATAGGACTTATTTTGCAATCCTAACATTGCCATTTCTAAAATCCATTTAAGGTTTGGGACACTACTGCATCATATTCTGTGATTGTTATTTTGATATCATCATCTTAGAAGGGGATTGACTGTAGTGTAAGTTTGGCTCTTGGTTGGTTCTTCGGGGCCAGTTTGTTCTCATGTTAATTAGAAATACACATCAGTGATCGTATTTCAAGATTTGTATGCACTAGAGGGGTGTCCATTAAAGGCTTTATGTGCAATTTTCCACACTTAAATATAATATAAATCAAGAATATCCTCTGAAAATAACTCTGTGAGTCATGACTGTCTACAATGAGTGTAACACCCGAGTCCCACTGTCTGTGATGTTTTCAGAGTCCTATCTTCACTTTGTTTACATCGCCGGGACGGCCGGCTGACTCCTCCCCTCGTGTATAAAAGTTGTTTAATTGAGGGACTAGAGAAAAGAAGAATAACATACTGTACTCACTGCTTAACTGTGTTTCTAGATCACGCTCATTTCAGGTAAATTTACATGCAGTGTGAAGATACGAGCATAATAAAGATCGCTAGCATTAGCATGCTAACACAACAATGCACTTTGGTTTCATGCTGTTGCTCAAGGGCGACATCTGCTGGATCAAAAAAATCACATATAAAGCCTTTAATGTTGAAGAAATGCATGTTATGATTTTAAATAACTGAACCAAACGTTTCTTAAAAACTATGCAATATATTTAAGTCCACTAATAACATGAATTTATTAGGGACTGACCGATACTGATACTGAGGAGAGAAAAAAATCCTATACTAATATGTTGGCTGAAATATTTCTCAGACTGTTTTTTAATCTTGATAGATAGATATACACATTTATTGTGTTGATCCCTCAAAAGCACTTATGGAAAAGATATGTAATGAAGAAACATCACTTAACTGGAAAGTAACTGTGCATGTACGTGCATCACTGCTTGACACTCAGGAGAGTGATGACACTTGTTGTAGTCCATATAGCACACTGCTGGTACAATGATACTCAAATAAAATGCTAATTGTCTGCTGAATAAATCTCGTTATATCAGCGCGTATCAGATAAAACGAGACGAGACCGATAGTCACTTGATTAGCTTTTATCGGCCGATATTATCTGCTGGCCGATTAACAGGTCGGGCTCTAGTATTCATACCTACCACCGGGTTTGGTGGTTGATTGATTATTATAGTGTTATGAAAACATAGGTGAAAGTATTTAAAGAGTGAAAAAAACCCTCTGTATCTCCCCATCAGCGGCAGACAATGCCAACATTGGATGATGACAGCGGAAGTGATCGGGACGATGAATTACCTCAGGTTGTAGTCCTGAAAGGTGGAGACCTGACTGCAGATGATGTAAAGAAAATCAAGGGTGAAATCCGCACAGGAGGTGGAGCAGATAAAGGTAAGGCCGAGTCTGCGTATTAATCCATACGCCAATAATATTTGGTATGCCAGGTTGTTTTTTTTTCACATGTTCATCAAATGTTGCATGCCAAAAATACCAGGATATCCTTTTACACCTTGTCCTCTTTGCAGTTTGCAAGCATGCATGCCTCCCTCAACAATATTAAACTGTGACAGGTGGATGAGGAGGCCAGTTAATGTTCAAGGTGGACCTTTAAAAAAAACATGTACCAATTGTATGCATATTGCATGAAAAGTGCAGACTTTGAAGGGCAAATGCAATATGTCCTACAGCAAAATGGAAAAGTGTGTGGCCCTATTTTAATTATGGCCTGACTGATATCTATATTGTGGAGAAATACATTTGATACCGATATATCTGATATCTTTCTTAGATCTATAGTCGAGCCGTAGAGACAGATATAGGTATACACATTTATTGCGTTGACCCCTCAAGTGCAGTTATCAAACACTTGTGGAAAACAGAGTATAAGAAAGACAAGATGGTCTCTAATGGGAAAGTAACTTCACATGTGTGCATCACTGTTTGACACTCTGAAGGGTGATAATCCATATAGCACGCTCTGCTGGTGAAAGTGAACTGTTTTAATACAATGAAACTCAAATGAACTACTATTTGACTGAGGAATATCTCAACACATATCTGCGATTAAAATTTGCAGATACCAATAGTCACCGGATATGCTAATATCGGCTGATCTTATTGGCTGGTCGATTAATCGGTGTGACTCTAGTTTGAATTGTGCTATTGCATAGACTGCCAAGAAGTGTGTTTTAATGGTTCACACATTTTATTTTTCCACAGATGATAAACCGCCTCCTGATGGTAAAATTCTGTTTAAGAAACCAGCCAAGCGCTCCTCCTCTGACAAATTCCAGGGCATCACTGCCAGCTCCAGCAAGAAGAAGAAGAAGAGTGATGGAGAAGAGAAAGAGGCGGAGGTGGAAGAGGAGGAGGAAAAGGAGAAGGAGAAGGAAAAGGAGAAGGAGAAGGAAAAGGAGAAGGAAAAGGAAAAGAAGGAGGTGAAGTCTGGAAAAAAAGTAAAAAATAACAGCCTCCTGTCCTTCGGGGGAGATGAGGAGGAAGAGGAGGATTAAACGTTACTGATAAGACTCATAAACCTCTGTAAAAGAGAGAAATCAAAGTGAACATTAACGATAAAATGTTTCATGTTAATGACAGACAAGAACAGACATGTATAGCAGAAGATTGTCTGGAGTTCATCCCGTTGTGAAGCGCCTCCATTCTGTAGTTCATTTTCAAGGACAATGCGAGTAGTTTTGCATCTGTTAGACCATCGACGACAACGAGTCTTTACTGTGTATAACTGATGACTGTCTGTGAGTTTACTTTTACAGTGAAATGAAACCTATCAAAGATTTGAATAGGGCAACAACAACAAAAAAATCAGTCACAATGAACATCTGTCTTTTTGCATTTCTTAGTTTCACTAAGTCTGTACAGCAGTACGGAAACAGTTTTTAGTTCTGAAGTGAAAAACACAGAAGTCATGTTCAAGCGGATACTTACAAGGTCTTTCTCAAAACTTTGGATTGGCATTCTGTGCCAAGCAAACTATGCAACTTAATCTGATACATGGAAGCTAAGAAACAACAGATACAAAAAACAAGTGCACTGATTAATCTTTGGTTTTACACTGACCCGTGAACTTCATCACCTGGGTGATTAAAATGAAACTTTTTTTTATACCGGTTATTAAAATTGATTCTTTTTTCTTCTTCTCTACTTAGTGTTCATGATATCTCTTCTGTTGTACTGCGGTTATAAACTTTTAAAGACTTGTCTTCCTGAGTTCCTGGTGCCTTCCACTTAAGGGAACAAAAAAAAAGCAATCTTTTCCACACAAACAATAGATGCTTTGTACCACAGGTATAGGACATTCAACCCCTGATCCTAGAAGGTTTCTAGACATCACTGCAGATTTTTCTGCTCCTCATACAAAGGTCAACACACTTTAAATACTCCTCAGATCCATTCATTCAAATTGAGATGCTTTTGATGAGACATCAACTCTTGTTCTTGTGCACTGCCCCATGACGTCATCAGATGTGTTCTTATTGTTGTGTATTTACTACATTCAATGGTGTATTGGATGTATAAATATATCCTAGCTTCGACCAAGGAGCTGCATAACTATGTAGTAACAATGCATTCTTGTCAATGCAGTCGTATGATTTTTAAAATGTGAATATGATTTTATTGTGTGTATTTTTAGGAAATGTTTGTGGCTGTAACATTTGAAATATGAAACATTAAATCAGCTGTCTGACATCCTGCATTATACGTTGATTTGTTTCCCTGTGTTGCTGTGTCACAGTTTCTTGAATCAGACCATTATCACACGATGGTTTGCTTACACTCTAGGTTCTTTTCCATAAAGGCTGATCTCTTGTGTCATGCCTTCAGAAAACTGTGATCATGTATGAACATTCAACAAACATAATTAGATTATATCAAGGTGACTCCAGTGTTTTCTCATTTTGATTTGAAGCAGTTAGTTAATTTGGGTAAATACATTTCACTGTCTGTTTAACTGTTCAAATCAAAATTGACGGTTTACAGCCAGAAGGTGATAAGCTAAGCTGTAACAAGGTAGGAAAAGTCAAACTGTAAGGTCAAACTGTCAGCTGCTAATGGGCAGATTGTGTGAACTTTGTGGAGTCAAGTACAAAATATGATTTGCCACATGAGACATGTTCCTGGATCAACATCCCACATTTTCTCAAAGTGAATTCCTTTGGGGCTCACTCATATTTCCAGTCTCCACATTCCCCCCCTAGTCACACCTTCTGTTTTTCACCATTTAATAGTATATCACACTGTACAGATGGAAGAAGCACAACATATAAGCATACAGTACGCTTAGGGAAAGAAACAGCAGGGAAAACGACCAGTTATGGATTTTTTTCCAATATATATTATTCTTCAAATTATTTTACATTACCATTTTAGTTCCTGTTTTAAGGTCAGATCTAAAATAATTATTCTAAAATAGAGAATTCCTCTGACTTTATTCACTCGGGAATAATAATTGTGTGTATTGAGTTCATATGTTTCACCCTGAAAGAGACAACGATATGTATCATAATAATCGGGGTGGGCTTAAATTGTGGTTAGAAACAAGTATCGAGCAACATAAAGGTAAGTTTTAGAGAATTCGTGTACTTCTTTAAATAGAATCATTAGGCTATTTCATCATTATTTTCATGGTGTGTGTGTGTTTTCATAGAGATGTTGTTAAACCGCATCAGTAAAGTGACTGTAGTGACTGTGTGCTCGTGTTATTAACACGTTCTAGAAATGTAGAAGCGGACGGATGTGGCTCCGTTGTCCTGCAGCTTTAGGTTCGTAAAGCTGAACAGCATAGAGATCAGATCAACAGCTTAAAAGGAATTTCTAGCAATTTTTCTCCATTGTCAAACCAAACTTATGCTATCATAATGTAACATGATTTGTAACTATATCGACTACTCTTTCTGATATGATTTTGATCAGATTCATGTATCACAGGTAATTGCTCTTTTGGTGTAGTGTGGGTGGCTCTTAAAAGAGCCTTTGTGTTTGTTGAGGTCAGGATTGGGTGTCTACTTCTTGGCAGCCTTCTCGGTCTTCTTGGGCAGGAGAACAGCCTGGATGTTGGGCAGCACTCCTCCCTGAGCGATGGTGACTCCTCCGAGCAGCTTGTTGAGCTCCTCGTCGTTGCGGACAGCCAGCTGCAGGTGACGGGGGATGATACGGGTCTTCTTGTTGTCACGGGCAGCGTTACCGGCCAACTCCAGGATCTCAGCGGTCAGGTACTCGAGCACAGCCGCCAGGTAGACGGGGGCTCCGGCACCAACACGCTGGCATAGTTTCCTTTACGCAGCAGCCTGTGACACGACGACTGGGAACTGGAGCCCGGCACGGGAGGAGCGAGTCTTTGCCTTTGCTCTGGCTTTTCCGCCGGTTTTGCCTCTTCCTGACATGGTGTAGGTTAATCTCTAGATTTGGGACTGAGAGAAATGTGCTCTAGGCGGACATGCTCTCTATTATATGTCCCCCGAGCGCGCGCGTTTTCCTGCCCCTCCAACCAGTAAAGGGGCCCCCAGGCTCCCAGCTGCGCTCCACAGTTTGAACAACCTTTTCTCCAATGAGCAGCGGAGATGTAAGCGGGGCTCGCTCCCCCCGTCGGGGCTGAGCTCCAGAAGCAACCGGCCACCAATCAGAGGCCGGAGGTCCGAAGCAGCGTCACCGTTACACATCCGCTCCTCTGCTTTAAGAGCAGCTCGTCCCGTAGCTCCCTACATTTTCTCCCGCTCAGAGAGACAATACACGATGGCAAGAACCAAGCAGACCGCTCGTAAGTCCACAGGAGGCAAAGCTCCCAGGAAGCAGCTGGCCACCAAGGCTGCCCGTAAGAGCGCCCCGGCCACCGGGCGGCGTCAAGAAGCCCCATCGTTACAGGCCCGGTACCGTGGCTCTCAGAGAGATCCGTCGTTACCAGAAATCCACCGAGCTGCTCATCCGCAAGCTGCCCTTCCAGCGTCTGGTCCGTGAGATCGCTCAGGACTTCAAGACCGACCTGCGCTTCCAGAGCTCCGCTGTCATGGCTCTGCAGGAGGCCAGCGAGGCTTACCTGGTCGGTCTCTTCGAGGACACCAACCTCTGCGCCATCCACGCCAAGAGGGTCACCATCATGCCCAAAGACATCCAGCTGGCCAGAAGGATCCGCGGAGAGAGAGCTTAATCTGTCTACTGCCCCAAAACAACCACAACGGCTCTTTTAAGAGCCACCACTTTTTACTCAAGACATATTCCTGTACTGTCTAATTTAGTCAATATTGTCTCATTATTAGTCGCATTTTATGGACTAAATAATATCCTACTAAAATGATACGCAGTGCTTCAACCAGATTCCTATGATGCACATATAGAGCACATATTACGACGTTGTTATTAATACACATTGTACTTATTTTCCATTCTATTTCCTTTTCCAGGATTTGTCACTCAGATATAGTCTATATATAAATGATATAATATATAAACCTGAAGGCTCCCTCGTTTTTAATCTTTCAGCTAAAAAAACTGCTATAAATTAACAGGACACACACTCAACTCAGGATCAATCAAACAACTTATTGGGAAGGAGCTGAGAGTTGTCAAGACATTAGAGCAACACATACAATGCTTACAAATGATTATAACACATAAGAAGCTAACATTTAAAACATCTCACAATACCTTACAGGTTCGGAGGTACCTCATGGAACAGCAGAGACAGGAACAGAACCAGATAATGTGCAGGTTGATGGAATTTATAAGCAGAAATTAAGATAGGGGAAATAATAGATTCTCACAAGTAGCCTATAAGCTCAACACGTGTTATGAGTTGACGCTATACAAATAAAAATTGATTGATTGATGGATGGATGACTCACTATACCTTATTATTCACACTGATTTATTGATGTTAGACCAAGAACATATTTAGTAGTCATCACCTTCAAGTTCAACAGCCCCAGCCTTGATTATGCTTCTTCTAATATCTACATTCAAATGAGGCTTGATTGAAACTAATTTATCATACAATCATTAAGGCTAAATCAATAATTTGCTCAAGTCAAATGTGTCAGTGAAAAATTGTTTTCTAATTCAATGCACATGCTGATAGTAGTCTGAAATTCAACATAAGAATTGTAACAAGTTGTATTCAGCTAATGACTTGATGCAGAGAGTCCTGACTTATATTGACATATAGCCTACATGAATTGTCATTGACTGCAGTAAAATCAATTTGACACATTGTAGACAACATCGGACTGGCAAGCTCTCAGTCCACTTTTAAATCTCTTTCAAAAACATTTTTACAAATGTGCTTTTAGGGGATTTGTTGTTTGAGTGTGTTTTTTTTTTTTTGTTTATTCCTTAATTAATGCTTTTATTACTAATTATGGTAGAATCCAGGGCAGTATCTTAAATCTCTTATCCCCTTTATCTTTTATGGTTTCAATCTGCTTCTTTCATTCCTTTTTATCTTTTCGATGTTTTTATATTGACTTTTCCTCTTCTGTGATTTCTTGCTAATTTTAATTAATTTTAATTTTAATTTGTATAATCTGTGGAACTCCTGTATTGTACTCCTCACATTTCTCTCTCTCTCTCTCTCTATATATATATATTTTAAAGCACTCTGTAACCCTGTTTTGTGCTATATAAATAAAGCTTATTATTTTTATTAGCTATAACAAGTATGAGATCAAGATATTTCAAGATATCTGAATATATATTGGGTTACACAAATGTTCAAATGCTAGTGAGTGTGTTTATATGGAGTCTCATATATGAAAAGTATATTTATCAAATGTATTCGTATATATATATATATAAAACACTTTTTATACATAAATGATGCAGCACAAAAAATATGACCCCCCTCCACACACACGCACACACACCACAACAATTTGTAAAAAAACAAATCTAGTTTAAAAAAGTGATTGATGACTGGGGAAACACGCTGTCCAAGGTGCTGAAATGATCTCTGCTGCAGCATGTTGTGTCATTTGCTTAGAAACAGAATAATGAATGTGAATGCTTTCACTCCAAGATGATGAATGTTTTCTTCACCTCCTGGTCCATGTGGAGCTCAGTCAGTCTAACAGGAGTCACACTGCAGCTGCTGGTCAGAGGGGGGCGCTAATGCTTCATAAAATTGAACAATGACATATTCATTGTGTCCCCGTTAGATAAAGAATGAATATTAATTTAAAGTCTAGGGACGACTTAAGTGGAGGTGAATGTGATTGTTCCAATACATGTCGGAGGTATTCTGACTGGATTGTTCTGATGACAGTCAGACATCCTGAACAGGGGGGCAGAGGAAAAGCCCCTAAATGAAGAACAGGAACTTGTCATTGTCAACATGGTGACTGCTGACAATGAAATAAAGCCTTTAGTACAACAATTATGTCTCTGTCTTCTTTTTCTCATAAACCAAATCTTCTATAAAACTACTCTGATATGGGTCATTCCTTTTTTGTATTGAATTCCTGCAGCAAAATAAACAAAATACATGCATTTACTAAACCCAACAAAACAGAAATGTATAGAGGCTTCAAGAAGGAAACTCCAGAGCAAAACAGAATCAATGTGTGTTTTAGGTGTGTTAAGAGTTCATGAAACTTGTTAAAAGAAAAAATGGTCATAGCAATTGTAAAAAACTGCAATTCTGACTTAAATTATACTAATGAGAGAAAAACTAATGGAAATCATTGGTGATGTTTAGTACATTTACACACCAGTGAGAAAGACATCATCAGTTAATTACTAAATAAACATAAACACAGTTATAATCAGATGAAATGTGATTAAATATGAAGATATAAAGGATAGATGATCCACGGTGAATTATCCTGCAGTGAATAAGTGATGATGGTCCAGTTATCACGATGAATCCAAACTACAGAAACTATCTACATGTCATCAACAGCTTCTAACTGAAGGAGACAAAATAAAACACTACTTATTATGAATACTCAGTAACCAGGCTGTTCTGGAGAATCTGGAGGATTTTACTGACAATCATGTTCAATTAATTTGGTTTCCTTAAAATTTTATTTTATTCTAAATAAAAACAAAAAATGTGAACAGACAATTAACCTCTTTAAACTACGTGGTCAATTTAAAATCCATGAATCCAAATTAAATAATTTTCAGGTACGCTTAACAGTATTCATCATCACTGAATGTTATTTTGACATTGATGCTGTCTAATTTGTGTTTTGTTTATTAAACAGCTCGTGCTGCAGCTCCTCGGAGTGATCAACGGTGGTCGCTACTTTCTAAACACTAAAGGACCTCAGGCCTCAGCGCCGGTCACATGACTGAAAGCTAAGAATTGCTCAGTGTGGCGGTCAGCCAATCCTGTGTGAGAAACAGCACATGGGTATTTGCTTCAACACCAAATATATACTGCTTTCTGACACTCACTTCAGTATCAGTTTTTGAGATCACCACTCAGAAAACATGCCTGAAACCGTGAAAGCGCCCAAGAAGGGCTCAAAGAAAGCCGTCTCTAAGGCCACCAAGACCGGAAAGAAGAGGAGAAAGTCCAGGAAGGAGAGCTATGCCATCTACGTCTACAAGGTCCTGAAGCAGGTCCACCCCGACACCGGTATCTCCTCCAAGGCTATGGGCATCATGAACTCGTTCGTGAGCGACATCTTTGAGCGCATCGCCGGGGAGTCCTCCCGTCTGGCTCAATACAACAAGCGCTCCACCATCACCTCCAGGGAGATCCAGACCGCTGTCCGCCTGCTGCTGCCCGGTGAGCTGGCTAAACACGCCGTGTCTGAGGGCACCAAGGCTGTGACCAAGTACACCAGCTCCAAGTAAACCCGCTTATAACCAGCAATAACAAAACGGTCCTTTTAAGGACCACACAACTTTTCCTTAGAGAGCTGGTTTCCTACCGAACCAATTGTTGTGTTCTACACGACTTACAACAATATTATACAGCTTAGGTGAACACAATTTTAGACATTAATGGCTATCGGGTATGAGAAACCAAATCAATATTTCAATATGCCAATACATACAAAATCTCTGACCATATCAGGTGATCGTTTCTGATTCATCTAATCAATTTTCTAGTTCATTCAACCACAGCGGTGAACGTTGTATGCAGAAGTAGATATCGTGTGGTATAATAAAAGTGTCTTTCATAAATGATCATGGAAAGGATGCTTACCTGTAAGTGTGTATGAGTACGTGGCCTTACAGTTTGTAACATCACTACTCAAATCAGTTAAGGTGGTAATAAGAGTCTTATTTGTATTTCCCCTCAAAAGCGACACGTAGAGAGCAAGTTATTGAAATCCGCATAACAAAATAAGCACTTCAGCTAGATATCTTATCATGCTTGTTATTTAACAGTTGCTATAATCTTGTAAGAGAGATTTTATGAAACTAAGGCGTTTCTGGTTGTCTTATATTGTGCATAGCAAGTAGACATCTTTTATGTTCTTCAGAAAATAAATCAAGGATACAACTCTTGAGATGAAGTGTGTGGCTCTTAAAAGAGCCTTTGGGTTTCAGTGTGAGTGGGTCAGAATCAGATTTAACCGCCGAAGCCGTACAGAGTGCGTCCCTGTCTCTTCAGAGCGTAAACCACATCCATGGCGGTGACGGTCTTCCTCTTGGCATGCTCGGTGTAAGTGACAGCATCACGGATAACGTTTTCCAGGAAGACCTTCAACACACCACGAGTCTCCTCGTAGATGAGACCAGAGATACGTTTGACTCCACCACGACGAGCCAGACGGCGGATAGCGGGCTTGGTGATTCCCTGGATGTTATCACGGAGGACTTTACGGTGACGCTTAGCGCCTCCTTTCCCGAGTCCTTTACCTCCCTTTCCTCTTCCAGACATCTTAGCAGATCAGTTGTTGAGAGCTGAATGATTCTAAGTCAGGATTCACGTTTTTCTAAATCTACTCTCTGAGAACCTCATTGAAGTCAGAGAGCTACTTTCTTCTTCTTCTTCGGTCATGTTTGTCAAGAAAATCCTTTGAATCATTAGCGCCCCCCTCTGATCAGCAGCAGGAATCAGGGACAGCGTGACTCCTGTTAGACTGACTGAGCTCCACATGGACCAGAAAACATTCAACATCTTGGAGTGAAATCTTTCACACCGAGATGAAGGAAGATTATTACAGTTTGTATTCTGTTTCTAAACAAATGACACAACATGCTGCAGCAGAGATCATTTCAGCACCTCGGAGAGCGAAAGTCATCAAAAACATCCAGGAGAGGAGGATATGCTGAGAGAGCAGGAAAAAGTCATAAAACTACAAATAACTCAAAACGTTGCCTTTATGTGAGTTTGTGCAACAACAGAGCAGCAAATTCATTCTAGATTTTTGTTGT